TTCGCACAGTCCCATAGGCCCAATGTTGTATTATGTATAGTTCTACCTGAGTGGCGTATGTACACCAGAAGCCTTGTTCTGAATAAATATATTACATATCTGTTAAGTTTGTTTGTTTGTTTGTAATTAAGCACAAAGCTACACAATGGGCTATCTTTGCTCTGCCCACCACGGGTATCGAAACCTAGATTCTAGCGTTGTAAGTCCGCAGACACAACTATACAAAAACAGTTTACTGTAATATATTGTCTTCTCTACTACTTATAGCTATACAAAAACACTTTACTGCGATATATTGTCTCTCTACTACTTATAGCTATACAAAACACTTTACTGTGATAAATTGTCTTCTCTACTGCTTATAGCTATACAAAAACACTTTACTGTGATATATTGTCTTCTCTACTGCTTATAGCTATACAAAAACACTTTACTATGATAAATTGTCTTCTCTACTACTTATAGCTATACAAAAACACTTTACTGTGATATATTGTCTTCTCTAATGCTTATAGCTATACAAAAACACTTTACTGTGATATATTGTCTTCTCTACTGCTCATAACTATACAAAAACAGTTTACTATAATATATTGTCTTCTCTACTATACATAGCTATACACAAATAGTATGTTGTAGCATATAATCACCCCTACCATATATATCTATACAAAAACAGTTTACTGTGATATATTGTCTTCTCCACAATTCAGAAGTATTGCACATAATTCCTTTAGCATATATCTATGTTAAGGATTTTACAAAGGAGTATAAAAGTTATTAAAATTTTCACTCGAGCTTCTAAGCATGTGTGAATCAAACTCCCTAACTTGTTTAGGTGAAACACACCTAAAGTGTTTTTGTTTTGTTTTTTGTGCGAAAGAATTCTTAAACTAGTTTATTTGACATCCTTTAAAATCTTTAAGCGTTTGCATGAAAATCTCTAAAACCTCATAGAATTTTACGTAAAATCCCTGAATATATATATCTATATATATGTCTTGAGTTAGAATGTACTATGTCTTATCTGTACATAAAATGTTGCATGTCAAGTTTGTTCTATGAATATAACATAGGAAACTATGCCAAGAGTGTAAGATAATATTGAGAGAATAACATGGAAAATTTATGATAAACGTACATCTTAGCATATCTATAATTGGAGTGTAGCATGTAAAAGGTATATCAGTGTGCATCATGACACACCTGTACTTATAATACACAATGACAAATGAAAACTTATAGTGGACAAGTCAAATGTATATTCATAACAAGAAAAAAAATCCATATTTAGAATGTATGTAAAATTAAGAATCTAGTAAATTAAATCAATACATAGACGTATCTAGGCTTTAAGTTATGGTATAATTTCTTATGCCTTTTTGTACCAACACTGCCATCTTCTTGTGATCTAGGTTATAAATATTTTGCACCTAGACAGTGAAATCCCTGTCCAGGAAGTGAAAAAAGAACTTCTAACGCTAATTCTAAGGAATTTTGTTTCTCTGAAATAGGCTTCGATTCAGATTTAAATTTAAATGTTCCATTTTATTTCTGTTATTATTAAAACCAGAAATCCTACAAGAGCTGTGGTGTATGAGATACAAATCTAAGAGACACAATCTTTTTTGTTATTACTTTTTTATTGCTGGTTTTAAGAGTGACAGAAAAGAACCCATGTTTACCATATGACGTCCAGAAAAATTGGATAAAGAAGAAATGTAAATCCGATGATAACAATCTCAGTTTTAACTAGAGAATCCTTAACTCTAGACTTATTAGTGCGTGGTACACAGACGGGATCATTTGGGCTTCTCTCCCAAATCCTAACACCTATTTAGCTCTATGTCAAAACCATCTGTTTCACGGGAAATTTAATCCGATTCTCTAGAACTAGTGCATCCTACCAATAACGCTGTTATATTTCTTTGATATTTATCACAAGTATATATAATATTAAGTAATTAATTAGGTTGTGCCAACACTAATTACTATTGTCTGCTTTCCATAGGGTTTAATTAAGGTTTAAGACTTTGGTTTGACGAATGACACACGAAAGAAAATTTGTATTTAAAGTTTAATGAAAAAAAATTATTGAAGAACAAAAAGTGATTTAAAAAGATTCAGTTTGAATACATTTTCCTCATTTCATTTAACGACAACACAGGATGAAAAGATTTTTGTTTTGCTTCCACGGAAAGGTTTTTATAGATAAAGGTTGGAAAATAAATATATTTCATCTCCGCGTGGTAAAACAGGTTATAAGATCACCAGAACATCTTCTTCAGGAAGCCACTACGTTTATATGTTGTTATTTTACAAGTTAGTAGAATATTTAAAATAGTTTAAAATGTATTTTCTCAATATATTAGTCGCTACAGCAAAAGAGCAACAAAATATAGTATAACCAGAATAAATTTCAATGAGCACCAATATCATAAATATAAACCTAAAATAGAATTTAATTATCAAATAATACAGAAATTGGAATGGACTCTCATAATCCAGAAAATGTTTTAAATGAATAACAGAATTAGATAAATACGACTAACGTAATATAAGCGTTACAAAAACAATCATCAATAGATACTTATATTACAAAAATTACTTTAAAGAGTTATAATATTACAATACTAGCTTCTGATTAAAGCAATCTACCTATATAGAGTATAACTAGAAATCAACCCGGTAATGAGTTTAGCTAGTTCAATATAAAACTGTTCCTTCATTATTACCCATAAAGATTATAATCCATTGCCTCATCAGCTTGGTACCCTCGCTTTTAGCGATAAATTTGGCCGTAAACCCAAAAATATTCCTCAAGGTTCGGCTAGATTAGACGATTTAAGTTATTCCTGAATCAATGTAATAAGCTAACAATGTAGAATAATGTCTACAATAAAAACTTATAAAACATTCAAACCACTAATGTTAATGAAAGTAACATTAAAGAAAGTATAGAGTATGGCCATGAGCGCAAGCTTTATCTAAAGCGGGAGGGGGGGGGGGGGTAAGGAAGAACCGGCGAGCGAAACTACGCGCGCAAATATTTTGTTCAAAAATATCCAAAATGAGTTGGCACATGCCCCTTCTTCTCCCCTGTAGTTCCCTCGGTGGAACAGCAGTAAGTCTTCGGATTTACAACGCTATAATCAGGGGTTCGATTCCCCTCGATGGACACAGCAGATAGCCCGACGTGGCTTTGCTATAAGAAAACACACATTCTCTCTCCTGTAGAGACTGCTATGGAACACATAAACGCATCCTCTCCTACCGAGATCACGTGAAAGTGCTGAAACCGTTATCGGAATCTTTGTGTCAAAGTTCTAGAAAAGTATGGCTGTCAGTTTTTATTGTTTTTTTTATGGTGTGAACTAGAGAAATACGACGATGTGGTATTTACATACAAAGTAATTTGATGACATTAAAGCAAATATATATATATATATATATGTGTGTGTTATGTGTTTTTCAGTTTTCATGTTATTGTATAATGATATATACTTTGATTATGTTTTTCATTACATATTTCCCTAAACTCAGGTTATTGATAATACTATGATTTACAATTTACTGCCATAAAATTACCAATATTGTGTTAACTCTTGTACAAGAAACGAACTTATTTAACATGAAATAAATATATATGCATCTTTTCATCCTAAATAAAAAATTCAAGGATTTTAACGCCAATAAGATAGTTTCTAAACAAAAAAACCTTACAGGGTAGTTACAAAAAACTAAAAATGTGCAGGTTTTGTTGAATGATTAAATAATATTTGTTTTATTAAAAGTTTCATCTCTTAGTTTCCGACCTGGTTAACATGTTTCATTTTTCTTACGGTAATTAAAGGCTTCCTAAGAGACGTGGTGTTAGCACCGTCAACAGTAAGTGGAAAGTTTAGAACAGAGAATCAAAATACTTTAATCACAATTGAATAATATTTATTGCAAAAATTTCAGCAGCCAAAGTCGTTTTAATTAACTGGTATAAAAGTTTTTATATATACGCTATAACAACATGCATATAAAATAGAACCAATTTCTAAGAATATTTAGCATCATACATTTAAATGGGCCTAGAACTGTACTTAAAGATATTCGGTACCGATTGTTGAGAATTTAAAAATTCTAGAAGCTTCTGTAGCTATTTCATAGCAACGACTTAAAGTTACCTGGAACAAAGTTATTTCAAAAATATTTTGTAACGGAATTCTGCAACTACTAAACATTATTTCTAAAAGAAATTATGGACGCAATCTATTAGTTACCTATAAAAGAATATATAGAAATATAAAAATCTTATACCTATATGAAAATTATAAATTATAAATTTTGACAAAATGTTAATGCCAAGTAAATAAAGAAGTTTGATGACAGACTATTATATTAACACAATTTATTTTTATATTATAATGCCTGTTTTTAAATGCATAAATTAATTAGTATAAGAGAAAGTTTAAATATATTTCTATTTCACACAAATGTAATATTTTGATGTTTAATTCGTAGGATTTTTAGAATATTCTAAGAAAGAAATAATAATCTCTACTTTAATAAAGAATTGATTAAAGAATACGTTCACAAATAATATTGTAAGTGAAAAACATCATTAAGTAACACTGGAAGATTAATTTTATGAATGTGTGTAAAGTTTGTTAATAATAACGCCCTTAATGTCTATATTTCAAATCACAGAAAGAAGAGCATGAGAAACTAATAGATTCTACAAAACATTATCGTTAACTTTCCTAGATAAAGTTCTTAAACATTAAACTTTGTCGAGTTTAGTTTATGACAAGATAAACCTACTTGATTACATAATATTACACAACTTATACACATAACCGCGTCTCTTTCAATGTTGTATTAAACACTGTCAAAAGAGCCCCGCCCCAAGTGTTCTTCAAACCTTATGATCTCGTTAACCAATAATAAAAGTGTTGAAAGTGACGTCATAACGGATGTCAATCTTGTATTTTCCACCAAACGATTTCCCTATAAAATCGGTCAGATCTAGCAGATAGGCAACAGCACTACAATCGGGCCCCACAAGCTGCAGTAAGAACCTACCTGGCAGAATTTCCAGCTGAGTTTTTGCATCGCTCTAGAGGTAATTTCACATCTATATTCTGATATACACTATCAAATCAGTAGTTCAACAACAACGTGATAAAATCAGCAACTGAAAATATGTAGGTTTCGTTTCCTTTTTTGAAATGTTTAAAGTGCAAAGGAAACTGTTACACCTTTAAAAAACTTATATATGTATGTTTATACATTATATGGATAAATGAAACTAAATTTACGTATTCATCAAGAAACTTTGATGCACTTACAATAACCTTGTGTTTTCATCTGCATATATAAATATACTCTCTAGCTTTTACGTTTACGGGCTATCTTTGTTATCAGTTTTAGTTTAAGAAAACGTTTGTCAAGAGTGCCTTTTATCTAAAATAATTTATCTTTCTCATTTCAACACAATAAAATATATACTAAAAACGAGTATTAATCATTGCTAACATTTTTAAACTTTCAAGAAATTATTTTACCTAATCATATAGTAGCATATTGAAAATAATTGTAAGATTCTTCCAGAAATTGTTTCTACGAAAGCTTATCTATCGTTTAATTTCAGCTTTAAGAATGTGTTATTTAAACCAGTAAAAATGATATTTATTAGGAAATGTACATACGTATAATTAACAAAGCACAATAAACTTTTAGCTATTTATTCTGGAAGTAATTAATGTATGAATTCTGAGTGACACGCCACTGTCACTGTCCAATCGGCCTCCCAGTGGCACAACGGTATGTCTGCGAACTTACAACACTAGAATCCGGGTTTCGATACTCGTGGTGAGCAAAGCACAGATAGCCCATTGTGTAGCTTTGTGCTTAATTACAAACAAACAAACAAACTGTCCAATCGATAATTTTGAAAATATCTTATATTTTGTCATACTTTCGACATGTGCTTCACTATGGCAAGGTGCCACGTTATTTTAATTTGAATCATGTGGAATTAGATCCTCCAACGCAATTTAGCGTTTGTGACCTAATGGATAGCTTGTCTGATACGTGAACTTAAGGATTCACATTTAACTATTTGTTGCCCTTAAAACACACTGAGCGTTTTTGGGAAGTGAGCTCCCTGTAAGAGTGACGTCACTTCACACTATTAACACTATTAGATCAGATAATCTTATCTCAAGAGTTGTTAGCGGGTGCTGTTCACTAGTTGTCTTGGCTTTTGTCTATTAGTGAAACTATGTATTGATATTACATTTGTGTAGCTGTGTGCGAAGTTCTAGGACGACGAATGTACAAAAATTGAAAATTAGAAGGATATTAAAGTCATATCTACGATATACAGGCAACAAAGTAAGTGAGGATCCCAACCTCACCCAATATCAGTTGCGCAAGTATTTTTATTTATAATTGCTTTGTTAATTTACTTATTTCTAATTGAAAACAAAATGTATCTTAACAACATTCCCAATATTTGTACTTTCAGTTTCTCTCTTTGTATAATCATTCAGAGAGATCTGTACTAGATGTACTCCATATTTGTTAACAAAATCCTTAATTGTGTGTTTCATGAACAAAAAGTTGTCTGTATATCTACGACATCTATATTTCAGTTCTACGTATGTAGCAGTAAAGCTTACATGTAAATTATTAAAAACTAAAAGTTTCATGTGCTTAAACATATAATGAGTTTACAAATAATATGATTCAGTTGCACTTATTTATTTAAGTTATATTTATTCAAGTTCTGCTAAATATATATATATTTAATTTTGCTAGGGGTTTTTAATTATTTACAAGTAAACACTCACGAGCTTGAAATTAACAATAAATTATCATAGACTTCTGTGCTGTAATTTCCTTCTGTGGATAACTATAAAAGAGCATAACTTTCATTGATTGTGATAGTAAAACAAAGAAGTAGTTGGAAGTTCACATTAAGAAAACAAACAGGTACACCTATCTTCATTAGTAGCAAAGAAAGACAGGCTGATATAGAACAAAGACTTTTGTGTTAAATCCAGTCTTTTTTCCTAAGTTTCATGTTTGTAATCTGATAATCAGGATAAAGTTTGATAAGTTTGTATACATTATACGTTGTAATACAGTGCTAATTCCATATAAAGGCTCATATCAATACTAGTATAAATGACAACATCGTCTACATAATTAGACTTCATATAACAACGCTATCTTTTGTTATCTTACTTTCCTGTAAAGAAACCTGTCCTTTTTAATGTAGTGTATATCCCTAAACAGCATGTCCCCAATTCCTTGTACAGTTTCTGTTACCCTAGTGTGATCTATTGTTATGTACTGAAGTTGTTAACTTGTACTTCGTGTCCATTTACTCCAATAGAGACACTATGGTCAAGGTATCAGTAATCGTCGGTTTCTTTACCGTGTTTGTCTCGATGTCAGTCTTGTCAGTAGCTTTGTCGGCTTCCTTGCCTCAGAATCGGTGAGTTGGAAAATTTTCCCTTTCAGACTGTTTTAAAGTTGAAATTTGTTATATATACTTTTTATATTAGTGTTATAGTTTACTCTTAGTGAGTTTAATCTAGTTATGCCCTTGTGTAAGTTATCTAGCTGTGCATAGATACATACTTTCTATGTCTTATGTACAAAAGCCTTCATTTATTAATAACAATTCCGTCTTTAACTGTGCAGACATTTCATTACGCAACATACTTACGTTGAGATTATTAGTTTTACAGCCTAGTAGTTAGCACGTTTGTCATCGAAATCGAAGGTCCGAGGTTCGAGCAGTGAAATGCTGCTGAATAAGTTTCTCACTTTTAGCTGAGGTGCGTTTTAACCATAGCGATCAATACTGTTATTCGGTTAAAAGTGGTTACGTAGTAGAAGAGTACTGGTGAATTGTTGCCCTTCTTATCTACTGTTCTAATCTGGGGATAACTATGTCTGAATCTTCGGTTCTCTAACATGACTGTTCAACCTACATGTCATACATGAAAGTACTCAATTTAAAATACCGCTTAATAGTTGCTTGGCGAGCAAACTCATTCTTAACCTTATCTCAGATCAGGCACCAAAACCTTTGGTATGTCTAGTTGATAACTGTAATTTCGAGCTAAGTTGGTAAAATTTGATAGCCCAAAAGGAATAAGTATGGTTTTTGTGGGGAAACTGCTAACTTTAGGTCTCAAATATCAAGCTCACTATTGTTGTTTAGTTTTGTCTAAAACATCGTTAATAGGTTTTTCCAAGTGCTTTAAACCTTTCGAATGTATTCCAGTGGCTCAGCGGTAAATTATAACGTCTTATAACGCAAAAAAACTGAGTTTTGATACCTATGGTTGGTACAGCGCAGCCCATTGTGTAGATTTGTGTTTAACTAAAAACAAATAAACAACTTTTGGAAAATTCGATACATATTTAACATAAAATAATAATAAAACCCTGAAGTATTTATATGCTCATCTTTTTACGTTTTAATTATACGTTGACAAATCGCAAAACTAACTCTACAAAGACATAAAATAATTTGGTTAAAGTTTTAACCTCATTACGAATTTTACAGAATCAATATGACGCTAGCGATCGGTAAATAATAAACTTTACTGACAAGATGAGTGATGGAAATGCTACAAATTCATGTCTTGACTAAGGTGTAAATAATAACGCCTCTTTATGCAAGACGCCCTAATTTTCTTCTGTTATATATATATAAAACAAAGACCCAGAGCTTGTTATATGACATGACGTCACAAGGAAAATAAGTTGCTTTCAGTGAAATGTTTTTGTTTAAATCATAACGTAAAACATTGGTTATTAAGTTTCATGAGCTATGTATAAAATTACAACAGCGAAATAGTCTTGTCCTTCGGCTATTTACCAGCAGAGAGAAACTCCATTAGTCTCTATTTAACAACAATACACAAAGCATTATAAAGTTGGTTTTCAGGTGTCGTTTCGTGTTTTATTTGGGTCTTTCATCTAGTATCTTGAAGATGGGGATTAAAAAGCCCGAAACACCATCTGGAGAACAAACTTCGAAGTTTATAAAACACAACCGCATTCTAAATGTTAACAGAACTATCTAAATCCACTTCAAAAGAATACAGCTCAGTCCTGTGAATTCTGCATTCAGTAAAGTCAAAACAAATAGAATTCGGTTGAAATAATGTTTATTTACTAACATACACAGTAAACACACCCTATTCTTGGTAACTTTGTAACACAAAACATATCTAGCACAGTTTGATGTGTACTTACAAATCTATTGAATAACCAAAGATCTTTACAAACTTTACAGAATAGTTCAAATCAAACTCATGTTTCAGAACAACTGCTTTTCCTCAAGAAATACTGCCTATTTCACCTCAATACTGAACCACATCCTTTCTGATATTTTAAATAACGATAAAAAAATAGTCATCCTTGTTTTTTTTACTTGGACTAAATATATCTGCTTCTAAACCAGATAGTCTGAAGACAAATCATCATTTCTAAATACATGGGTTTATCCATTCTATGTATTTCCGAAACTTTACAATTAGGGTTAAACAGTTTAAATCTGAATATTTAGTAGAATATAATTAATCAGTTTTTGGAAACACTCTTCACATTTTTCTAAGTATATTATTGTTTCTGTACAAGCTACCGTTCTATATTATATTATTTACTATATTATCAATGTATTGTGAGCCCATAGCTCAGAATTATATATCCGATAAAAGGTAGTAAAGAACAGATCTCGTGAGCAATGTAGAAAACTTAAAAATGGGTTGATTCTTCACCTGATATGTTGGGGGTTGAATTTACGAAATACTTCCCTTGGGGTTAATTACCAAAGGGAATTTCTCGTTTCTCCAATGAGTCCTGTTAAGCAACTGTTGTTCGACTGAATTTACTCTGTTCTTCAGCTTGGGTACTTTGTTTGTTTGATGAGCCAATCATGGCACCAACTAACCCGAAACTCATTTTAACAAAACACCGTTGTGGATATCTCAGCTTCGTTTCCAGAAGAACCTTATTGGATAGTAATAATTGAGATGTGATTTGTTCCACAGACGTAGTCGATAAATCTCGACAAGCGCAGCAAGTTTTGTTTGT